GAGCTTTTAAGTGCATTGTAGCTTTCAAGTTGTTTCAAATAGTTTGAAATCACTATTTTAAATGATTTCACATTTCACGGATCGTTTTTCTTTGAGTATTGATCTGAGATTTGAGGTCTTCTTGTAATATATGTTCCTTTTCAGCATGCCCACTTTCTGCTATTTTTGAGGAAGAAAAAACTTCGCAGTTTTTTATGGCATTTTATTACAAAATGGTAGAAATACTTCGCAGTTTCTACAAAATAGTGACTGCATTGTGCTTACGCAGTTTTTACCAAAAGTTTTGCATGTTATCACCAGTGACATGTATTTTTGCATCGCAAGCGATACGATGCTCCGCTTTGGCTCTCTATCAAAATATCCAGATATGCTTACAATTGTATCAGCGCCTCTAAAGAGTTTTCCAGTTAATTGAAACTACGCAAGTTGAGTTTTTGATTTCATTTTGTTCTTTCAGAGAGATATTTCGAAAATTTAATGTTTGACATGAAAATTTACGTATAGTATTTCAATTTATGCTATATGACCTTCTGAGTTTTGACGTCTAATTTTAAAGTTATTTGTTCTGCTGATTTATATACTCATATTTCGCTCATCGTTTGTCTTTTTTTGCCCACTTGCTAATTTTTCAGGAAACATTATCATTTTGAATAGTAGCATTCGCCCTGCAAATGAATGCAGAAACTTAACTTTCCTTGTTGTCTGATACAACCAATCAGCAGGATTTTTTAATGTTTACTTGCACCTTAGAAGAAAGCTTTCCCATGAAATATCTTTAGTTTTTGCATTATTGATATTTTCAAACTTGATTAGAAATTAATTTTCAATTACCATTTTTTTTTCAGTTTTGCAATGTCAATTTGCAAAAAATTAAACAATTTTTGTTCAATTCGTGAAACTTTTTGGATTTACCTTCCACTCGTTCAGTTTTTCAATAAAATGTTTTCCCTTTGGAAAAAAATTCACTTCAAGACCACTAGCCAGAGTCGTTTTTTTTTTCTAATATTTAAGTCGCAAAATCAATCTTAAAGCAAATTGGCTTGAGACGTAAAATTTGAAAAACAAAAATTCACAGCATGTATATTAAGATTTTACAATTGATTGCATTTCACACGTTAATAGTCTGCAAGTTTTCTACTCCAATTACATGAAAGTTTTATGCAAAAAAACTCTGCAAAAAACAAGGAGTATTTTTGAGGTTTTTGGTTTCTAGTTCTAAAATCACAGACGTTTTGTACGACGTTTATTGGAATCCTTGAAGATTTTAGGTTCCAATAGCAAAATTTTTCAAAGTTTTTCAGTTTAGATGAAATAATTTTGACACAAGGAATATTTTTTCTCAATCTTAATCACACAGTTTTGTTTTAGTTTTATTTTGTACTCAGTTTTTCTAGCAAGCAATGGCTTTAACTTACGACC